TCGTCTTTGTAATTACTGACTTTCAGATTGGGTCTCAGAGTGGATGTCCACCTTGTTGGTGATGAAGTTTTTTCTGTTTCTTAGTTTTCTTTCAGCGGACGCCCCTCCCCCACAGAGCGAGACCTTCCCGGGTTCAGCTGTGCTTGCTGTGAAACTCTCAGTCTTCAGCGCTTCCAATTCCTGTTTTTTTGTGGGGGGCACTGCGCCAGCTGAAACAGCGGCATTGAGATTCATGGCACTTTTCTGCCCGGGAATCTCCTGGTCTGGCTCCCCGCTTCAGTCCCCCCTTCAATCAGCTGAATGGGCGACTTTGCCTTCTCAGAGCTCCAAACGCCAACTAAAAGGGCACCCAGTTCCATATATTCTGCACTGAGAACTGCTGCACTGGGGTGCTGGCAAAGTAGCCGCACTGGCCAAAAGAGTTGCTCTGGTGACCCGTGGGGCTCCTCCACTGGGAATCTCCTGATCCGTGGGCAACAAAAATTTGTCTGGAAGTGTGGTGTCCACTCACTCTCTGCACTTTTACTGGGAGCTACAATCCTGAGCTCTTATGTCTTACATAATTCTAATTCATGCACCTCTTTGGTAATGAGTCCATTCTAGCATCTTGCAATATCTTTTCTCCATTTTTGATTTTCTGTAGTTTGAATAGGGTGTGTGTGTATGTGTGTGTGTGTGTGTGTTTTGCATTTTTCTTGCTTGAGGTTCTCTGAGTTTCCTGGATCTTTACTTTGGTGTCTGTCATTAATCTTGGAAAATTCTTAGCAATTTTTGCTTCAAATATTTCTTCTGCTCCTTTCTTCTCCTTCTGGCATTACCATTTTGTATATTATACAACTTATGTTATTGGATTCCACAGTTCTTGGGTATTCTTTTCTTGTTTTTTTTTTAATTTGTTTTTTCTTTGAGAAATTTCTACTTATGTATTTTCTTTTCTTTATTTATTTTTTATTGCATTTTAGGTTTTGGGGTACATGTGAAGAACATGCAAGACCGTTGCATAGGTATACACATGGCAGTGTGTTTTGCTTCCTTTCTCCCCTTCACCCACATTTGGCATTTCTCCCCAGGCTATCCCTCCCCACCTCCCCCTCCCTCTGGCCCTCCCCTTTTCCCCCCAATAGACCCCAGTGTTTAGTACTCCCCTCCCTCTGTCCATGTGTTCTCATTTTTCATCACCCACCTATGAGTGAGAATATGCGGTGTTTCATTTTCTGTTCTTGTGTCAGTTAGCTGAGAATGATGTTCTCCAGATTCATCCATGTCCCTACAAACGACACAAACTCATCGTTTCTGATTGTTGCATAATATTCCATGGTATATATGTGCCACATTTTCCCAATTCAGTCTATCATCGATGGGCATTTGGCTTGATTCCAGGTCTTTGCTATTGTAAACAGTGCTGCAATGAACATTTGTGTGCATGTGTCCTTATAGTAGAACGATTTATAGTCCTTTGGATATATACCCAGTAATGGGATTGCTGGGTCAAATGGAATTTCTATTTCTAAGGCCTTGAGGAATCACCACACTGTCTTCCACAATGGTTGAACTAATTTACACTCCCACCAACAGTGTAAAAGTGTTCCTTTTTCTCCACATCCTCTCCAGCATCTGTTGTCACCAGATTTTTTAATGATTGCTATTCTAACTGGCGTGAGATGGTATCTCAATGTGGTTTTGATTTGCATCTCTCTGATGACCAGTGACGATGAGCATTTTTTCCTATGATTGTTGGCCTCATATATGTCTTCTTTCGTAAAGTGTTCATATCCTTTGCCCAATTTTGAATGGGCTTGTTTGTTTTTTTCCTGTAAATCTGTTTGAGTACTTTGTAAATTCTGGATATCAGCCCTTTGTCTCAAAGTAATAAAAGCTATTTATGACAAACCAACAGCCAATAACATACTGAATGGGCAAAAACCGGAAGCATTCCCTTTGAAATTCGGCACTAGACAAGGATGCACTCTTTCACCACTCCTATTCAATATAGTACTGGAAGTTCTAGCCAGAGCAATCAGGCAAGAAAAAGAAATAAAGGGTATTCAAATAGGAAAGGTGGAAGCCAAATTGACTGTATTTGCAGACGACATGATAGTATACCTAGAAGACTCCATCGCCTCAGCCCAAAAACTCCTGAAACTGATAAGCAACTTCAGCAAAGTCTCAGTATATAAAATCAATGTGCAAAAATCACAAGCATTCCTCTACACCAATAACAGACTTAAAGAAAGCCAAATCAAGAACGACCTGCCATTCACAATTGCTACAAAAAGAATAAAATACGTTGGAATACAACTCACAAGGAAAGTAAGGGGCCTCTTCAAGGAAAACTACAAACCACTGCTCAACGAAATCAGAGAGGACACAAACAGATGGAGAAACATTCCATGTTCATGGTTAGGAAGAATTAATATCATGAAAATGGCTATACTGCCCAAAGTAATTTACAGAACCAACGCTATCCCCATCAAGCTACCATTGACTTTCTTCACAGAACTGGAAAAAACCACCATGAACTTCATATGGAACTTTTGTTCATTTTTAACCTTTGAATTCTCTTCAACCTTTGTAGTCAGATACTGATTTGACAGAAATTTTCTTAAATGCTATGTTGAAGTCATCTTTTGTTGATTTAGCATTCTCTTGGTTGTTGTAAACATTTGATCATTTTCTGGAGTTCTGACAAAAGTTCATTCTGACTATTTTTGTTCATTGTTTTCAATGTGTCTATGGAAAGAGGTGACTAGGAGTTTTCTTCTCTGCTATTTTTCCTGGCATCATTCCTATCTTCTTTAATTTTTAACTCATAGAAAACTTATCTTACAAAAAGCCAGGTGATTTTATACAGGATCAGGTTAGTCAGCTAGCTTAAATAAAGAGGGGATATGCTAGAAGCTCAGGAGAAGATAGCTGATGCAGAGAACATGAGTGTCATGTGGTTTGCCTGATATAGTGGGGATGGATAGCCTGTTGCCTGGTAACACCATTAATATTGGATTTGGACTGAAAGAATCTCTTAGATATTTGTTATTTTAGCAATCTTTTATGTATACTGATTCTGAAAAGATAGATAAGAAAAGACTTCATATATCTTTTGATTCTGTGTTGTGGTTTCTGACAGTTTTGCATTAGTTTCATGAATAGCAACCTTAATCAATTTTTTAAATTGCCTTAAATTTTTATAAGGGTTCAAAAGTAAGACAATTTTACATCATCATGATAATTCAGTCTCATAATCATGTTATGATGCATTGGTAGACTCTGATCTGCCACCTTCTGAATTACTTTATGGAGTTCTTTCAAAAGCTGTACCTTAGGTGAACAATATTTAAAAGACCTGGCTACAGTTTGCTAGTGCTTTTCATAACTCTACATATATTTCTGATACATAAATTTAGAGATTTAAGTTTTCTTTGGCCTCATTTTAAAAGGACCTAAGGTAAAAATAGAATATAAATATAACTTTTTCTACCCAAGTCTGTGACCCTAATTGGAGCTCTGTCTCAAATTAACTGATCTAGTTTTATAAAATCACAGGATGGATTGTGTTGTCTGTAATATTTTATAGTACCTTATAATATCATGCAGTTGTCAAGAGTGAAGTTTCACATCATGTATGGGTTTGGGAAGGTATGAATGAAATATGTTGAAACAACAAAACAAAGATTATCTGGTATTCTGAGAATATATTCTGCATATATTCATACTTTTATGATAAATTTTATGCTCTTCATATCAGCAGTTGTCCATTAGACATATTTTACATAACATATTAGGTAAATGTTGGTAATGAAGAGTAAGGATCCCTCTTCAAGATTATATTATAGTAAAAAGAAAATATTCATATAATAATAGTACAACTTATATAAATACTGTAGAAGAGTTACCAAGTGTTTTATGGGTTCTAAGGAAGTGATGATGTTATTAAGGAGATGAATAATTAAGGAGTCCCGTGAAAAATTATTGGTGTTTTGAAGGAATTCTGTGGAAAATGAACAACTGAAAGTCATATACACAGATACCATAGAGCATATTTGGAGTGAATAGAAAATGGATAGCCTACAAATAGAGTTAATGGGAAAAACAAAATTGTCAAGATTGGTAGTAGATAAATTGTAGAGATTTTGGTTGCTGGGGTGAAGTATTTGTTTTTGAGCATTTCCTCATAACTGGAAAGGTTGACAGAAATCACTTTATTCAGATCCTTGTTTTACAAATGAGAGAGTAGAAGCCTCAGATGTTATTTTACATTCTACCTATGTTTATTAGTTGACCTCCTATAAAACTCAGACTACAAATCAGATTTCTTTATTTTTTAAGGCTTGCAGTATAATAAGAACATTTCTCAGATGATCTTGCAGAGACAGTACTCATTTCTACATTGCTAAATTCAAGGGATTTTGTTGATATGTTCACTTATGTATCCCAAGCACCTTGAGTAATTTCTGACACATAGTAGGCTCTTGCCAATTATTTATTAAATAAATTAATGTATACATGAATATATATATTTATCATTTTAGTTACCATGGCCGCTACTGTAGTCTACCTCATTCCCTTTCCAGTATTGTGATCATAGTTTATCCTACCTCTATCATTTTGCAGCTGAGATTAAGAATTGAGTTAAATGACAGACAGTATATTATATAGAGTTAAATACAGTATTGAATGAATGAACATAAATGTATACATACATATACCTATTTATGTTATTTAAATTGAAATAAATCTATTGTTCAGATTTTACAAAATCAACAGCCAAACATTATCAAGTAAGTTGATTAATTCATAAGTTCACTGAATAAATAAGGTTTTCTTGATTTATAGAAAGCAAATTTTTGGCTTAGGTTTTTTGCTAAAAAGAGTTATTTAGCACCAGGAGAATTGCTTACTGTTTTAATGGAAGAAAAATATTAGAGTATCATTTTATTTTTCAAAAGCCAATTTAAATATTGTGACAGAATACATTAGACTCATGATAAAATATATTTCCTCAGTTTCATCTCTAGACACTGAAAAAGGACCCAAGCCATGTACAGACCATAACTGTGAATCTTCCAGAAGACTAGCTAAGGTATGTTATATGAGGCTGGTAAAAAGAAAAAAAAATTTATATGAACATGCTCCATGTGTAAGTAAGCCTCCTAGAAATTTATAAAATACATTGAATCCCCACAGTTAAGGATTTCAACAATAAAAATAAAACTTTACCCACTAATAAAATATATCAGTAGAGTTTATATTTATAAAATGCTTTCAAATTTAGCCTTTTGTAATTGCTTATATGAAGAAAATGGCTTTTCTATTTGTTTGGCCTTATGCTATTGGTAACTAATTTATAATTATTATTCATATAGAATACTGTCCATGTTACCATAGTCCATCATAAACAACAAGCAAATTTGAACTATAATCTTTGTAATCTATTTTCATATTGCTTTGCTCTATACCCAACATCCTGTATCTATGCTTAGGATGAAAATTATGCTATATCTTCTAGAAGCAATTTAAATTACTTGTTTTTACATTATACTTAACATATTGCTTATGTTCAATAAATTTATGACAATATTTTCCTATGCCTAATTGTAATTTACTCACTGTACTTTTTTAAAGTAGTATTTTTAAATGTTTGGAATATATAATTATTTACAGTATAATGGTTATAAAGTTATTCTACTAAAGGTGTAAGTATTGCATACAGAGATCAATATCCATTATTTTTACTTAGTGAAATTGACAAGGGGATTATTTCTTAATTTGTACTCAGTAAGCCTCCTGAAATATAGTTTAAGTCAGGCATTCCCAACTCCTTGGTCACAGACTGGTACTTATCTGTGGCCTGTTAAGAACCAGGCCATACAGCAGGAGGTGTGTGGCAGGCAAGCGTGAAGCTTCATCTGGGTTTACAGTCCCCCATCCCCATCGCCTGCATTACTGCCTGAGATCTGCCTCCTCCTGTCAGATCAGATCAAGGGCAGCATTAGATTCTTATAGGAGTGTGAACCCTATTGTGAACTGTGCATATGAGGGATCTAGATTGTATACTCCTTATGAGAATCTAATGCCTGATGACCCGTCACTGTTTCCTGTCAACCCCAGATGGGACCTTCTAGTTGCAGGAAAACATGCTCAGAGCTTTCACTGATTCTACATTATGGTGAGTTGTATAATTATTTCATCATTTATTAAAATGTAATAATAATAGAAGTAAAGTACACAATAAATGTAATGTGCTTGAGTCATTCTGAAACCATCCCCCACTTCCTGGTCTGTGGAAAAATTGTCTTTCACAAAACCAGTCTCTGCTGCCAAAAAGGTTGAGAACTGCTGGTCTGAGTCATCAATTCGCTCATTATCTTCTATTTCCATTTAAAAATTTTTCTTAAGCATTACCTGTCTTCCTTGGGAAAGGTTTTCTTTTTTTTATTCTTGAAATAAGATTTTAGGATTTGAGGCACCATGAAGAGAACGTTGTTTAATCTGTGAGTACTGTGTTGAACATTGGTCAGTTATTACCTAACACATCTTTTACCCTCTACCAATCTTAAACAGTCACAGACCCTGAACTAGGATAATTTATTTGGAAATGGGGTTGGAATGTGTCTTCAAGCGTAGGGATTAGGAGTAGAGGAAGGGATCTGACCTATTTTGTTATTTTCCCTGAAGATGGGCTCAAGGTGATATCTCTATGACCTTTCTTATGTCATTTTTATTTATTCTTGTTTTTTCTTTTACATTCAGGGGGTACATGTACAAGTTTGTTACATGGGTAAATTCCACATCTCTGGGGTTTGGTGTACAAATGATTTTGCATCCAGATAGTGAGCATAGTACCTGATAGGTTGTTTTACGACCCTCACCTTCCACCCTCAAGTAAGCTCTGGTGTCTGTTGTTCCTCTCTTTGTGTCCATATGTGCTCAATGTCTAGCTCCCACTTGTAAGTGAGAACATATGGTATTTGGCTTTCTGTTTCTGCATTAATCTGTAGAGGATAATGGCCTCCAGCTGCATTCATGTCGCTGCAAAGGACATGATTTAATTCTTTTTTATGGTTACATAGTATTCCATGGTGTATAGGTACCACATTTTATTTATCCTGTCTACCATTGGTGGGCATCTAGGTTGATTCAGTGTCTTTGCTATTGCAAATAGTGCTGCAGTGAACATACACATGCATGTGTCTTTATGGTAGAATGTTTTATATTCCTTTGAGTATATGCCCAGTATTGGGATTGTTGGGTCAAATGGTAATTCTGTTTTAATTTCTTCATAAAATTTCCAAACTGTTTTCCACAGTGGCTAAACTAATTTACATTCCCATGAGCAGTATATAAGCATTCCCTTTTCTCCACAGCCTCACCAACATTGGTTATTTTCTTACTTTTTAATAATAGCCATTCTGACTGGTGTAAGATATTATCTCATTGTGGTTTTGATTTTTTTTTTCCTCTGATGATTAGTGATGTCCAACATTTTTTCATATGCTTTCTGGCTGCCTGTATGTCTTCTTTTGAGAAGTGTCTGTTCATGTCCTTTGCCCTTTTATTAGTAGGGTTGTTTATATTTTGCTTGTTGATTTGTTTAAGTACCTTATAGATTCTGGATATTAGACTTTTGTTAGATACATAGTTTGCAAAAATTTTCTCCCATTCTGTAGGTTTTTTGTTTACTGTGTTGATAATTTCTTTTGCTGTTCAAAAACAAACAGTTCAGTTTGTTTAGTCTTAGTTTAATTAGGTCCCACTTGTCTATTTTTGTTTTTGTTGCAATTGCTTTTGGAGACTTCATCACGAAATCTTTGCCAAGGCCTATGTTCAGAGTGGTATGTCCTAAGCTTTCTGCTAGGATTTTTAATAGTTTAAATATTTAATCCATCATGAGTTGATTTTTATGTATGGTAAAATGAAGGGATGCAGTTTCAGTCTTTCCTACTGAAAGGCCACTTTATCACTATGCTTTATCCAGAAACACAAAATAAGTTTTAAAGCTTCCGGATGATGAAGCTTTGAGTTCAAGAGGTCTGTAGTTTCATTAAGTTCATTTGTTCCTTTAGACCAATATCTGATTATTTTAGGTTCCCCTCCAAATATCTGCTCTCTGACTTGTCCTGTCCCTTGGAAACTTTTTTAAAATGTAATATGTTTACCTTTCTTTCTCTTTCAGCATGGAAGTTTTTTATTTGGCTTGTAACAGCAAAATAAAGAAAAGCTAGTGCTTTTCTGTCTTGATGGTAGTATAAGAACTGTATATTTGCATATAGTAAAAAGAATTCAGAATTTGCAGGCAATGATATTTTCACAAAAGTACCTGCATTTAAAAATCTGAAAAATTATTTGATGTATTTGTCTCATTCTTGGTCTCATTTACCTTTCAACTTTAGGACCTTTTTATCTTGTATTGGCATCTTATATATTATTAAATATAATCTTTTGATTTTAGGAAGATTTAAGTAACTGAAATTGTTCCCAAACTACAGTAAGGTCAAATTTACTTTGGCGTATTTGTCCCAGTGATGTTACATCTAGCTTCTAAAAGATTCTATCTAAATATGTTATATTTCTTAAGTATACCATTTTCGTTCCACTCTTCTCCGTTTTGTCAGTCCTTCTGCCAGTGCCATACTTTCTTCATTACCTTATCTGTATAATGATTCTTTTGTCGGTGGTGTTTTTACCTTGTTTTTTGTTAGGATTGTTCTGGATAGTCTAGGTTCCTTTCCAAGAAAACTTAGAATCAGCTTTTATGTCAATTTTCTCAAAAAGGCATATGTGAGTTAGATTGGAGTTTCCTTGAAATTATCAATTTGGTGAGAAGTGCCATTTTAACAGTATTCAATATTCGAATACCTGAAAATTGTACATCTAATCTATCTAGGTTTAAAAAATTAATCTATCTAGGTTTAAAAGATGAATAACATTGTCTCCTCCTTCAGAGAAGTTCATGGGAAAGTAGGAGAATCAACATATAGACAAGTTACTTTATGCAAAGTAGCAGTTACTGTAACAGAAATAGGTAAAAGATGATAGGATAATATGTAATTGATTAATCTTTCTAGAAGTTGAAGAAGAAAAACAATGTCACTGCCAAAGATAGCAGATGATATTTATTTACTCATTCATCCATTTATTTTAAGTATGTTTTAAAGTCAAGATCATAGTGTCATTATACTCAAATAATTGTATAATTACTTGACTCAAATGTTCAGTTGAAAATCAGACCAAGTGGGTCTTGATAACAACCCAAAAAGTAATCTGAGTCTTTCATATTGGGGTCATCTCTGATACATTTATCACTTTTAAGAAAGATGACTAATGTTCCCTAATATTAAAATAATAATTTTAATTGGGTAAAGTTTATATTGGAAAATTCATAATCCATTATTTTTTTCATCTCTGCACAATATTAATAAATAATTAGTCTTTGAAAGGAGAAATGCCAGTCTGTTTTTCAAAATAGACTATTATTACCTAGAATTGGAAATAGTATAATAATAAATATAAGAAGATATTTGCTACTGTTGCTTTACACAGAATTTTTTGAGATATATTTATATTTGTCTCTATAATGTTAAACTTCTGTACATTCCAAAAGAACTTCATTAAATGGTGTTCTCCTTCAAGAACTGTCCCATGGAAATTACTCTATTCTATAAGTCAGGAATGTGATGCCTTTCTTCAATCACTGTTACGTTATGCGGGTTTTTATATTTGATTTCTTCAACTTCACACATCAAGTGGCATTATAACTATACTGTAAAATAATTCAAATAACTATATTGTAAAATAATAGGGCTTGCGTTGAAACAGTCTTCTATATAATAATTTTATATCTGCAGAATTAAGTATTTTAATTTGAAAAAATTTCTTTTTGCATTTTTTAGTGTAAAGGTCTTATATGTCATTTGGGTTAAATGTATTCCTAAGTGTTTTGTGGGGATCTTGGTGCTATTTTAAATGGAATATTAAAAAATTCACTTTTTAGTTGTTTCAATTTCCGATGGATATTTTCACATTTTCCTTGTTTCATGTCACCTTGCTAAATTCACTTGTTAATTGTAGTAGTAGTTTTAG